CGACTTCATATTGCTGCCCTTGACACAGTGCGCTGCCGTCAGCACAGCGTTGTTCCGCAACAAAGAGCCACCGCACTTGAACTCGCCTTGATAATGCAGCCGCACATAGTAGCGATATTTCTTTTGTGTCACCGCGCTACCGCCCACGATTCGCTCGGACAGTTTTGCTGAATAAACATGGCCTAATACAAAATATAACATTAATAATTGCAATATTAATACTAGATTCAAACACATAGCGTGTCAATTTATCACTGAGCACGTTAACATACGATGCAAAGTTTTTATATCACATCGAATTGAAGTCCAGCTTTTTTATTGTTGATAAAAAAATTAATACTTATTTAAAATAACAAAAACATCTCCTTTTGCGGAATATCTTGACTAAAATGAGCGCGATATAGGTAGGGTATAAGTACTTATCCACTTGAAGTGTTACAAATTACAAATGCTAAAATTTTGTAAATTTTTGCTAGTCAAATTTTAAGAAGAGTAGCCAAATTTGGCGTGGATGTCCGGGAATGCTTCACATGTTGCACGAATGTCGTCTAGTCGAATTTTGCATTGAGCATGGCGTAAAGGTAAATTAACAAATCTAACATGAAAAGATTTTAAACGATATTTTATTACCTTGGACACGAAAACAATTTCGTATAAATAATTGCAATATCCAACGTTTTTTAGGAAAAATACTTTCCCACTTCATTTCTTCACAACAATGTCCACCATATTCACCGGACTTAAACCCAATGCATTTTTCCATATGGTCCATCCTCGAGGCCAAAGAATCAACTAAAAATATGAGAAATTCAATGCCTTGAAGACTGCTCTTCGCCGCCACTGCGTCAAAATATCGTCCGACCACAATCGTGCAGTCGTGAAGCATTCCCGGATAGACTTGATACTATTATCCACGCTAAAAGTGGTTAAATCTAACAGTAATACACTTTTCGTAAGATTTTACGTGTTTTAAAAAAAAAATACAAAAAAAAATTTACAAAACTATAGCATTTTTAATTCGTAACACCAAGGTGTATTAAACAACAAGGTTCATAGAATACAAGGTTACGACATCAGCCATGGCCGCCATCTTGATGACGTAGATGGATCAATTTTTGGAGTTGCCAGATTCCTAAAAAATTATCTTATAAAAATACACTATTTTGGTCTCAAAAATACATCACGTTTTATATAAAGTATTTGTAACCCTGATATTTACCGTTTTTCAATTTGCGTTGAAGTTTGTGCATTTTTCTACGCCTTTGAGTTTATTTAAATTATTAAAAATTTAAGTGCGCTATTTTTGATAACAAAAATTACGCTGAAAAGGGTAATTTTAGGTTTTACCGTATGTCTAAAGATGAATTGGAATTTCGGTAGCGAAATTTTGCCAATGTTCTGAACAGTGTTGCCGTTTTAGACCTTTGGTGGCTAGATTTAGCTACCACATACCTTTTTTGGCCACATAAATTTAAAATTGCCCCTAGCCCTCTTTTTAGACTTTTGGAGAATTTATTCATACTTGGCATGAAAAAGTTGTATATGCTTAATTTGATCTCATTTTTTTTCATTTATGAATTCTTAAACTAAGACTGATATACCTAAAAAGAGAGCCGCACTGAGTTGTCAAAAAATATAAACAAACTATTCAAAATTCATAGATTCTTTTTTCAATTTGACTTTTTAGGCTGGTGCTTATGAGAGCAATGTCAAAATCATGTTAAATACATTTTGGTTAACACTTCGAGTGCCTACTACATACATATCTCAGGAAATTTTACAAAACAACTTAAGTCTATCTTTCACGAACGAACTAGAGAGCATACATATGTCGCCAAAGCTCTTTTACCGTCAGAGCAATACGTTTTACTTAAAAAAAACATTCAGTTGTTAAAAACAGAGACATTTAAAAGATTCTGAGTAGCGATAAAATATGTTAAGACTTCTTTCGAATTATAACTTTTTTCTCTTTGACTGTAAAATATGTTTTATCGACATATTCTATTTGGTTTGTGCGTCAAAGATAGACTTAAGTTGTTTTGTCAAATTTCCTCAGATATACATATATAAAAATTCCTGACTCAAATCTTTCAATAGCAACTAGCAACTATAATTTGCATATAGTACATGGGATACAGACATTGCAGGAAGTGACGTTAGCTTATGCTTAACTTTAGTCTGCTTACGCGAACACTGGTGCTAACTATTAACTTTATATTTTGTTCGAAAAAAACTAACTACTTTTGTGGAGTGATGTCCGCAAAAAGGTCCGACCTGGATACCCCTGCATTACATGTCAACTAACTTGTAACTAACTACTTTTGGACATAAAATATCAATAAAAAAACATTATGTTAATTTTTTATTTAATTTTATTTATTTTTTTTTATCTTTATTTATTTTTTTAACTTGTATTTATTTAATGTATATTCATGTGGTGTAGTGGTAGGCAGTGCGCGCTTCCACTCCGCAACGCCTGGGTTCAAGCCCTGGTCAAAGCAACATCGCAAAAAAAAAATTTAGAAAAAACGTTTTTTCTTAACAGCGGTCCTCCCTCGGCAGGCAATGGCAAACCTCGTGAGTGTATTTCTGCCATGAAAAACAGTTTCTCGTAAAAAAAAATACAATCGCCGTTCGGAGTCGGAGTAAAACTGTAGGTCCCTCCGCTTTGTATAACAACATCAATGCGCACGCCACAAATCGGAGGAGAAGCTCGGCCAAACACTGACATATTATATGCAGATCTAAAAGGTATGTTTGGCGGGTGTGCCTAGCTTATGTTCAATTTCTAGCTTCTGTTTTGGTACTAAATCCTCTTTTTTTGCTAAAAAACTAAGGAAATTTTTGAACTAAATAAAACTGCACAAAAAAAGTATGATTTCTAAGAAAAATGTACTATATGCAAATTGCTATTGAAAGATTTGAGAGTCAGGAATTTTTATATATATCTGAGGAAATTTGACAAAACAACTTAAGTCTATCTTTGACGCACAGACCAAATAGAATATGTCGATAAAACATATTTTACAGTCAAAGAGAAAAAAGTTTTTTATGAGAAGCATTTTTTTCATGGAAGAAATACACTCGGAGGTTTTGCTACTGCCTGCCGAGGGGCGACCGCTATTAGAAAAAAACTTTTTTGTTTATTTTATTTTTTGATGTTGTTCGGAAACTGGGCTTGAGCACAGGCAATGTGGAATGGTAGCGGGCACTGCTAACCATAGCGGTCGCTAATTGTTAGTTTTTGAAAATTTTTAAATCTTCTTTGTTCATTTGCAATCATATTTGTTGCGTATACCGTTATTAACAAACACTAGTTGACATTTTAGTTTATAAAACTGTTAAAAACTAGTGTGTCATTTCTAAAGCATCGAATCCGAACCTACAATATTGTTTTTAGAATAGAAAGACACAACATCTTTTAATACAGTTTTATTTAAAACAAAACAAAGAGAAAAACTTTAAAAATTATCGCAAAAATGTATACACACAATAAATATACATATACAATGGCAAGAATGTAAATAGCGAAAAGACATTTTAGCAAGTTTTGGCTACTTGTTTAAAAATGTTTATTATTTTTTATGAAAATATAACCTACTATCTAAAAAAAACATGTAAATCAAAATTTCAAACTTTGTAAAAAATTTATAAAAATTCGCCGAATTTTAACAAATGTTGGTCAAAATTTTAAATATTTTAATCAGATTTTCTAGTATTTTTTCGAGTATGCAGTTTTGTAGCCCATTAAATTGTTGTATTAAAAAGAGCAAAATCGAAGTAGCTTGGTCTTACCGTTGATTTTTGGAAATTTTTTGTTCGCGCATATTCCTCCATACAAAGTATTTTCAAAATTTTTTTTTGTATAGAAAAAATGAGCAGCATCTTCCACAAAAAAAAATTACCAAAAAATCGACGGCAAGTCCAAGCTACTTAAAATTTGCCCTTTGTATTGAATGGACTACAAAACTGCATACTCATTCTCATTTCTGAGAAATATAATTAATGAGCTCAAAATTTTGATAAAAGGCTTTCGTGTTTGCTAAATTTTGTGCAAAGTTTGAAACTTTGACATACATGGTCTTTGTTAGATGACAAGCTATACTTTCATAAAAAAATAATAAACATTTAATAATCGCCAAAGAATGCTAAAATGTCATTTTCCAATTTATATTTTCGCCACTGTATCTACAACTTATATTTTTCATATCTATGATTCTTTTTGGGGGGGAATTAGTATTTTTTTTTATAATCTCACTAAATTCAAGTTTGAATCGTTTTATTAAAAATAAAAAAAAAGTGAACAAAGAATTATAAAATTGATTTTTAAGCATAAAACAAAACGACTTCAATTATAATATAACAATTTAAGTTAACCGTTAATTTCTTAATGATCCAATGATCGAACCTAAACCAAATTAGAATGGGACCACCTCTGAAGTACCACCTTTCCTTTAAACAAATTATTATAGAAATTGGTAAAGGTGGTCCATAATTATGCGGTAACATACATACAAAAAATATTCTGACGAATTAATAACCTCCGTTTTTAAAAAAAAATAGAGAATAATGACAGACTCCAATATAGCGAGAGTACCAGTTTGACAGAATAAAACATAACCAAAGATCTTAGAAAATAAGGATGCTGGCTATATTTATAGCTCCCTTATATTCTATGTTCTTTGTGATGCTGTCACGTTTGTACGAAAAATTATTTTTGGGCCAGACCACAGAGTGACTCTTATTAAATTAATAAAGAAAACACTGAAAATCGGGACTTAATCGGTACAAATATGAAAAATCGGGACACTTATACGTCCCGACTTTTAAAAAATATTCAGCGGCACAATTTTCTTAAAATCCG